CCGTTGTTTTATATTTTATAAATACTCAGTGGTTCCCGTAATTAATAAAATGCTTATTCGGGTTCTGGTAGGCTCCTAGCCCTATAATAGAAGTAATGCAACTAAATCATAAAAAAACAATGTAACTACTCTATTCTGTGGGCGAAATAGAAATTAATAATAATAATAATGTTTCTTTGATTCCAGGTTCCAGTTTGACTTCAGTCCGAATCTGAGTCCAGTATCTATTCCTACCCTTTGAATCAGTAATGCGTGATGCGGAAGTTGAACCATACAACTTCCGTATGTTCATATTTAATCATCTTCCTGTTCACACCATAGTTGTTCTCTGTCTTTTCTAGTGTACAGCGCGAAGATGGAATATCCTACCGAAATATCTATTAAACAAGAAGGTATGTAGAGGTTTTGAGCTGATTTTTAGCAGCAAATTTAAACCGAAAGCCAAGCGCACGATGTGTAATTTACTTCTCAATTGGCGACGACCCAGCCGTGGCTGGCAATCTTCAAATACGCGGAATTGTATAGTAAATTCTCGGTAGTTAATTAGACTCGATATACTAGCTATAGCATACAAACTGTGCTTTTCGTGTATCATCTTGTATTCTTTATGTTGTTAGAATCTACCAAAAGGACGCAATTTCTTTCACTTTGTCGGTTTCGATCTTCATGTAATCATGTTATGTCGACAAATATTCTGATCTTATTATCTCGTTCGAACTGATACTGCGCCAATTAGCGTGCATTGGCTATATAGTATTGTTCTTAATATTATTAAAAGCGGGTGCGTTTTCTTTTATTACTGATTACTTATTGTCCAATATGTTTTTAACTATTGAATTTTGCTGAGTATACAACATACAGTATACTAAATTCAAAAGGTCGTTTATCAGTGTGTGCGTCCATTTTGGCAGATTCTCACGAGTAAATAAATTTCAAAGAGTTGATCTTTAACCTTGGTTTATAATATGTAGTCTTGATATAGCTTTAAATAATTGTCCTTTGCGGTAGATATTCCTTAGTCTAACGTCAAACAGTTGATTCTTAGCACAGGAAGCGATGGTTCAGACGTCCAGTTAAAATACAGTCCTTTGTCATGGTAGATTCTCGCTAGTCTAAATTTCAAACGCTGGTTCCCAACGTGTGTATAATGGTCTTGAAATATATGTCCTTTGTGGTAGATCAGTCTTTCCAGCCTGTAAAACTTTAAACGGTTGTTGTCAGGGTAGACAGAGCTCTTGAATTGGATAAATAGAACATCCTTAATTTTAATTCAGTGTGATAAAATCTCGGTACCATGCGCAGTGTAACTAGAGACCATACCAGAAAACTTCAATGTGAAGGATATAGTGATATACGACTGCCTGAAAAATATTAGCAGAACTTAGTCTTAGACGTTTCGAGCGAATGCCAGGGTTCTTCGACTAACTTCCCGACAATCGAAACGTCGAGGTTCTGCTTATGTTTTTCTGGTAGTTGTATACCTTCACTCTTATAGCTTTTTGTTGTAGATTCTCACTAGTCTGAATTTCAAACGGTTGATTCTCAGCGTAAGTCGAGAATACACGTACTTTGGTCTCAGAATATAGGTCTCTGAATACACGCCAGCTCTGGTCTCACAACACACCTTCTTTGGCAAAGATATATAATGACAAATTACAGCAACGATTTTGCTTCTGCTAGTGTATATTCTCCGTAACTTTAAGATGGAAACTAAGAAGCCTAGCTGAGAAACGTTTCAAGCAATGCCTAGAAGCGTAAAATTTACCTTAAAATGAGAAGACTCTGTCGCTCATATTATCGTTCCGTTTCAGTCGTTCAGAAAGCATGTGCCACTTGCGACTCTTGCACTTCCGTGTTAGCCGCATTGTTTTTTCGCTGCGATTGCAATAAATCAAATACATGGAATTTGGTATCTTGCTTATAACATATGATTCAAGAGTTCCGCTTTGTTATTGAATATATATCCTCTATAGTCTACTCCTAGGAGTAGGATGAAATGTACAAAAATTAAGTGTGTAAATTTACCACATCTGGTCTGCATGCAACTTGAGAAATAAAAAAAAATGTAACGTAAGTCGAGATACAGTGTATAGCAGGTTGGACTGTTTTGTGCGACTTGTTTGATTTGGTTGTAGTGCCAATAAGGCAATAATAGAAAAGCTTCGAATTAATAGCGATACAACTGCCAGAAGATCGGCTCTTACTTCCCGACGAATAGCCTTAGCTCGAAACAAACTAACTTCTCGACAAAGGGCCTTCGCTCGAAACGTCAAAGTTCTCCTTGTATTCTTCTGGTAGTTGTATCCCTATCACTCCCACAGCTTTCTCTTTGATTTAGTAGTACCTCTCCTCGCGTTTGCATTAGTACTCTCATTAGAGACCTTACGATTTTAGGACGGCAATGGCTACCAATACAATAGATCATTGAAAAGAATTGAAAAATTACAATATATGAACAATCCTCGCTCTATTTAGTACAACGCCAAATCACAGATTTTCACGTCTTGATACAACGGCTGCATTTCAAGCCGCAACAAGTGCAACTTCAAACTGGGTTCAGGAGAACTCTTCCCAACCATAAAACCCATGTCTTCAACTTCTAAGACTGTATTCAATTCATACGATTGACAATGTACGACGAATTATCTTTATACTACCATTTATTTGAAGGAGTTTGTTTTGGCCGTCGTCGTCGCGTTGCCGTCCTATAATCGTAAGGTCTCTAATAATTCTCATCAACTCTCAGCTGATTCAAATGTTGATAAGAGTTGACGAGAGGTTTTTGCTCGTTTGATCGAATCGATAATATCCAAATCAAATCATTTTATTCGCCAATAATTAACAAGAAAATATTTACACAAAAAGGATAAAATAAACCAAAAGAAACCAAAAGGCTTATTTACATTGGGCTCCTTTGTTAATATATAAGCAGGTATAGATCTGGAGGCAATCAGTCACAAAATAAATGAATTAATTACAAATATTATTTTAATTACAATGTGTACAAGGAAATCAAAAAGAACAATCAATCCAGTTAACTCTCAGTGCAACTTTTGTCAGTCTCTTTGACTATGAACTCTCATGGAAACTCCCGTGAATAGACAATTCCCATTATAGGCAAATTTTTTATCTTGGCAAAAAAAGTATATTCCCGGAAAAAGCATACTAAAATGAGTAAAATTGCAAAGTTTGGTTGAGAAATGTTGTAAAATGCGGAAAATATAGCCTTGCAAAGTTCGCAAATTTTGTATATATAGTTTTGTATTGCGCGCGGAAATTGCTACCACATTTGGGCCGAATAAAATGGCAGCAATTTCCGTACGCAATACAAAAGTATACAAAATTTGCAAACTTTACAAGGCTATATTTTCCGCATTTTACAACATTTCGCAACCAAACTTTGCAATTTTACTCATTTTAGTATGCTCTTTCTAACTGAACATGTGATGATTTATTTCATCTCCTTGCCTAGTTTTAATATTAGTCTATAATGGGAATTGTTTATTAAGCACAGGTATTGAAATTCCGTGAAGGTTGGCAAACGAGAGTATGAAACTTTCATGACCCGGCCAAACGAGAACAATTAAATTAAAGTCGTACGACATGGTTTTATTTTGCTTTTCTGAGTACGCGATTGCCTAGTACGCGAGTCGGGGCGAAAATAGCGCAAAGATGAGATGAGAACATGATAAGGACTATTTCTGGAATACTAGAATTTTATGATTTGACATCCTCGCAAGTACATGGTTGCAATAGGGAAGAGGAAATGCAGTCGTATTTATCCTTCTTCCTTACTAATTTGCATACTGACACTGTCTGTCTGTCAAATTCTGTCGAAGTATTTAGTTTAATATTGGCCTGGTTTCAGTTGCTGCTTATATTCTATAGTTCTGTAGTTTTACAGGCGTTTTTACTGTATCTGGCTATCAGTTTAACTCAATATAAAGATACTGCACTTGTCTAGGTCTAGAAATAAACTGAAAATGCAGGATTAATTATAAACCATGCAGGCACTAATTAAACCAGGCCGATCAACCATACGAAATAATTTGACAGACTTTGTTTTGCCAACAGCGATTTCGGCAAGATGCAAATAAACGACATATTACCATATTCTCAGATTTTTCAATTTACCACATTGCAATTTACTGCTAACTTTTGAAGCCATATTTCAACATAATATGTAAATTAGTAAGGAAGTAGAACATATTATGTCCATAGCTTTCGGGCGTGCCTGGATTTAATACCTTGTTGAGTTTGGTTAAGAACACATATCATCGTCTTGCCTTAAGCCCGTTTTCCACTAGGCGAATTTATTCGCGCGAACAGATAAAAAGTAGGAAGCGATCCTACTTTTTCGCCGCGAATTTTTTCGCCGACCAATCACGTTGCCGGATTTCGGTTTTCGCTTCGCGTCGCGCGAAAAAATTCGCCTAGTGGAAAACGGCCTTTAGATGGCGTATATGTAAATATTATTTACTGCACAACTAAATATAGAACTTAATTTGTTCTCGAAGATTATTAGGATTGGAAACTCCCAAAACGTATGTGGGCGTCCTCACGTATATTGCGTAAACTGAACTGGATCAAATTACTCGATCACCAACCTTTCAAACTAAATTGATCACGTATGTAGGTTTAACATTTTAACCTTGCCCCACCAAGAGAGTTGCCTTGGAGATACCAGCTTCATATAATTAACGTTCTGCTTCTTGTCGTAAGCGCTTTGCCGTGTTGAATCTAAGACTAAGATCCCGTTTGCGAATGACAAGACGTGAAATATAAGACAGAGTATAGAAATTCATACAACAAGCCAGCATGCTTTACATGATGATATCTGAAAGTAAGTGTGGGCGAAAAGTCGAGATTGTACAACAAGCTGAAATCCGGCTTGTTAGACGTCGAATTCAATTCGTTGAATTTAATGTTACTGATTTTTTTATTCGCGATAAATGTGCGTTTTAACTGGTTGTATTCAACAAACATGCTTTACTGTTGTAGTAGCTTGTAGTGTCAACGTTTTCCCGAAATATTTATGACCATTTATGGCTTTACACTCAGGCCGCTTTGAAGTCCGGTTTACTTTCTTTATATTATTGCCAAATGTACTGTAGTGTATAGCTGTTCTTTATATTGAAAGGGAATGACTCCTATCTGCTTCCTATCTAAAATCCAGATATTGATTTGGAGAGAGTATAATTTTATTAGTCTTTTTTATCATCAATCTTGTTCTTTGAGATTTATATTGATATTTTAAAATGTTTTTTACCTTAAGGTAAAGTGGTCGTGCTAACTGCTAAGGAGTAAGGTGCTTTAAAAGCGAGGGAGACTATTTCTCACTATTTGTGTTATCTGTTTTTTTCAGAAGAAGAAAAGGCCGCCGAAAGGCCAGCAAACAAACCATGGACGTCGAAAAACGCCATTCATTTATGGGAATTTTTACTGGAATTACTGTATGACAAGGAGTGTGAATCGTTGATATGCTGGACCAGAGCTGAGGAATTTGAGTTTAAGTTAATGGACCAAGAGGAAGTGGCGAGAAGATGGGGAAATCTTAAGCAGAAACCCAGAATGAACTACGATAAACTGAGCAGAGCTTTGCGGTATTATTATCAGAAAAATATCATTAAAAAGGTAAGTTGGGTTTCATGGTACTGCAATTTCAGATTGAAGCAAAAATGTTTCCCAACAACTCCAGAAACAATTTCTCTTTTTTCCAACCAGTGTGTATGCGGGGCATGAATGGCGAGCATTTATTCTTGACCACTGATTAACACGACGCTTGACTTTCGCTACATGCAAATGTATCTGACAAATGTCTCCTGATCTGCCCTCCTTTGGGAAACATGGCTAGGAAACAATGTTTCCTGGTTTGTCTGCCTTCAGGGCGCAAGGCTAGGACACAGTGCTTTCTGATTGTCCACCTTTGAAAAACATGGCTAAGAAACAATGTTTCCTGGTTTTTCAATCTTTGGGAAACATTGCTCTAGAAAAGAGTGTTTCCTGGTTTCCCTATAGTGTTTGCAAAATATGGATAGGAAACAATGCGTACTCGTTTGTCCATTGTTGAAAAACATGGCTTGGAAATATTGTTTAATTCCTGATTTGCTTTCGTCCGGTTCACGTGGCTAGAAACAATGTGTTCTGCCAGGTTTTCCATATTTGGAAAACATGGCAAGGAAACCGTGTTTCCTGGTTCGCCCATACTTGGGAAACATGGCTAGGAAACAATATATGTTTCCTGATTTGCCCATCTTGGGGACGCGTGGTACTACTGTATGTAACGCAGGCTTTTAGCCAAGATGTCAAAACTGGCGTTCCAAAAGATACCGTGGGTGTGGGAACCTATTTTCGTGATTATGGTTAAAAACATGGTGCTTGAAATCAATTGCCATTATACGCTCATAATTCAACATCTTGTCGACAAAAGTATCGACAGAAACGTATGCAATAGAAAAAAATAAACAGCAGCTGGCAACTTTTGAGGTATTCAAGAAATATCGCAAAGCTTGCGAGTTGCTGTTTAAGGGAAACATTTTCTTCGGCCATCCATAGCTATTTATTAAAAAGTAGGGCTCGTCTAAATTAGTAAAAAGTGGTTCAATATCTGATGTAATACATTGTTCTGTCCTTCACAGGTCAACGGGCAACGTCTTGTCTACAAATTTGTCAATCTACCCCGTGGTTACCAACCAGTCAAGAAATTGGGTCCAGCTCGATTACGTCAACTAGCCAGACACCAAAATGACGTCAACAAACAAGATTCGGTTGCCAATGACGATACTACTACTCCACCAACAATGGCGACGAAAACGTCGGTTATTAAAAGTGTCTCTGATGTGATTAATACCGCCTGGGAAAATTCACCTATCATTCGTAAAATGTCGCCTTCAGCTCGAGAAATGTCGCCTTCCGCTCGAGAAATGTCGCCTACTTCCAGGAACAGCCCCGTACTGCCAGTGACTTTGTATGAACCCATGTCGACCGTTGCCGAAGGACACGCAAGCTCACCGCCAGTGTATCTTCAACCAGTCACAACGCTTCCTGGTAATTCAAAATTGTGCGCATGTCATCCGTACACGTTTCTCCAGCCCATCACGCGTGCGCTCGGAACAGACGCTGTAACCCGGCAGACATTTACAGTCTTACAAACTCCGTGCTGTGGAAAGGTTGCCCTCACCCCCCTGTCGGGTCATCCTGTTATCCTCGGCGGTGCAACGGCGGCGATGGCTGCACCTACGATAGTGCATGTCGGGTCGCCTGAGGGCCGCATACAAGTCATCGAAGCGTAGGAACCCGGGGATAGGGGAAAACGGCAAAAGTAGGGGACTTAAGCAAGCAGGACGGTAACGTAACGACGACGGTTATTAATACATTGAAATTCATAACATTGTAAACAAGAAATAAGTAACAAAAAGTCTGTTGAGAATCTCCCAGGAGGACCTATCTATGTTCCCGTGTTTACTTGGAACGTTTTTCATTATCATCATCATCATCATCATCATCATCATCATAATCATCATCATCATCATCATATGCCTTGTGACCTAAAACCTAAAACCCCTGGGAGATCATCTCTGTTTTTATGCAACAGCAAACCACAGACTTCCTCTTCTTCTCAACAAAGTACTGTTAACAACGCCTGTATTTAGAGTCGCGAGAAGTAACATTTCAGAACTGCATTACCTTCGCACGACAGGTGATAAACGACAAGTTTTCTTCACAATATTTTATTTGATAATTTATTCGTTTTGGCCGTCGTCGTTGCTTTGCCGTCTTGGCTTGTTTTTAGACCGTTGAATTTTCATCGGATATAATTCGTTGTTGAATTTAATGCTGCTGATATCTGTTTGAGAGAAATTAACTTTTTAAATTGTTAACTCGGCTCAGCACATTAGGGCCATTTATACGAGCGAAAATAAGCAACGGCCTGAATAAGCTAGGCCTTATAACGACTGTCCTCGTCCCCAGGGCCTCTCGGTTACGCGCGTCCTCCCTATACCCTGGGACACACGGAACTAGAAATGCAAGAAAACTTGCAGTAGTTTCTTAAACGCATGCTCTTGAATTGGGACGCTTTAGCACCCTTAACAATTTTCACAGTGAAGTATCACGATGAAAAGCATTTGTGTTGACATATGTTGATATAATAACTTTGCCTAGCGAAAATTGCTCAACTTCTACTTGTATGAAACAGCAGTTTCCTGAGAAGCCAATCAGATCTCTGATCTCCCTCTTTAGTCGTCTAACCCAGAGCCTAATTTTCAACGAGTGACCGAGTGAAAGTGGCCCTGGGGACGATAATGTATAACGACCAGTGAGCTCTTTATAGCTGGAGCAAGAACTTCAGTCATTCGGCCTATAATATAAGGGGAGTCAAGGGACTAGTACCAATACCTCTTCAAATTTCGCCATTTTGGCTTTACTTTTTGGACTCGAGTCCTCGCTTGAGAATATACGAAGCTCACTGCGACTCATACAGGCAGCCTTATTTTAGCCGAGGCTTATTTTTGCTCGTATAAATTGACAGGAATTCCTTTGAATAAAATTCAGAAGAATTAGCCTCAACGAATTAAATTCAACGAAAGTTCGACGTCTAAAACAGACCTTACATACATCAAGAAGGACAAATGAAAAGGCCAGGAAAAGATGACGTTATTGGTATTGGGCACTGATTTGATGCCACTGATCTTAAAAGAACTCTGGATTTAGTCCGGATCGACCCAAACACAAATGCACGTTTGCAGATTTAAAGAGAGTCTATACATTTGAACGTAAATGAAACATTAGTTGATTAAAAGTCAGAGTTATTTATGCAAGCATTAGGGTATTGTTATCAAGTATTTGTAGGTTAATACATGCAGTTCATATTATTTTATACAGTTATAGATGTAGTTATTTGTATTGACAATGTCAATGTAGTATTAGTAGTTTTAATTATTATTAATATTTGAGCGATCTGCTTTTAAATTTGGTAGAGAAACGAATGTGCTGTACGTGCATCATTTGGAAAATTGTGCCCTACTTGCTTAGAAATTCCTCGACGTCAAAGACCCCAGCCCCCTTAGTGCCCCCCAGTCAACCATTTCCCCCCCCCCCCCGGCTGTCAAGGTATATAAACATACCATGCAAGTACTCAACTGAAGATTCAGTCTATCTACAGTATAATGTAACGCTGTCATACCAATAATCTGTTTCAGAAAGCACACGAAGCAGTCCTACAATCGTGTGCAAAAATAATGAGACTTTTCACAATTTTGGCCATTTTAAAGTACGTTGGCCTCCCCCCTGCCCCCATGATCAATGTTGGAAAAAGTGGGTTGAATTTTCTCTTTTCAGTCATCCACACAACATTGAATTGGGGGTGAGAGGGGCACTTATGCGGTTATCTCAATAATTTTTGCTCCTGATTGTAGGGATGGAAAAAAATACAAAAATGTTCTGGGTGAGAATGCCCCCAGATTCCCCTACTATTACATACGACACCACACCAAACGTTTAATTTTATCACCAAAAACTATCTGTCATCTCTCCACACTCAGTATAGTATGGTCCCTTCTTTTTTTTTTGGTACAAAATTGGTTAGTTTTTCAACGGTATATTTTAAAATGCCTTTGTTAGCCAATTTGCCCACGTTTTCAAAACTAATTTCATTAAGAAAAACTACTATAGTTTATACATTGAAATACTTTTTTTAAAACCAAACCAATATATATCTAGTAAAACTCAAGAAAATGAGTGCGATAAGATTGTTATAAAACTCATGTAAGGGACCGGTCATTATTTTATATGGCCGGGGAAAAAATATAAAGTAAAAAAAGTTTTTGCCCAACCTGAAATATCAAATAAAAAAGAAATACCCACCCCTGGCGAAAGGCAAAGTCTTTAGAAAAGGATACCATTCAGTTGTCACACATTACATTCCCTTTGCACTTCTGTGACATGACTGATAAATTTTTATCATCCAACCCTTGATTTGTTTTGTTTTTCATTTACCGTATCTTTTACTCACTCAAAATTTTGTTTACCCAATCCAGTGTGTCCTCCCCCTCTTGACAATTCTAAAATTTACGACGAAACTGGCATTTACTGATACAGTCGAACCCCTATTAAGCGGACACCTTTGGGACCTCGCCTAAGTGTCCGCTTAAAAGGGGTGTCCGCTTAAAAGGGGTATGTAGGAAAACACAGCAGGAGGCAAAGGTGTGTAATTAGGTGTGTAATGTGAGTATCAAAACAGTAAAAAATACCTAGCAAATTTTTAGCATAAAATGAAAAATTCTTTGCATAAAAGTTCATTAGATAATGTATACATATTTCGCAGTCAGACAAAAAAGGAATCAATACAAGTTTGTTTCCGAGGCTCACGCAGACGATAGCAATTATTCACATGAGAATCCGCACGATGTGTGAAAGGATTAGCGTTTCTGGTGTTGGTACCATAGTTTTGTGTCAAAGTTGATGAACTGATGACATATATTAATTATCCAACCTTGCTACTTATTTGTAATAGTATCTTTGAAACCAAACTTCATTTAATATTAACTAGTACTGAATTAGTTAATTTAATATCTCGACTTCATATTACACATTGCAAATTGTGGTCGTCATATAAAACCAAAAATCGCGCGCCAAATTCGAATATAATACACGCCAAGACAGCATTCGAGGCGCATCGACGACGTTCAAGCGAGTGTTTGCGCACAACGTAGATGATAAGAAAAATTGGTATGCATACAAATTGATACAATAAGTTGCTTGTTAGTAAAACATTCAAGTGTTTTCCATCAGAGATTAAACGGGTCAAACTTGAAGACTTGCGAGACGACGATGGTCGCCAAGTATCTCATCGCCGTTTCTTTGCCGGGGTGACTAAAGATGTTATCACTGGCACGACAGAGTTATGTTCTCGACGCTTAGGGCAAGTAAGGCATTCGAATCAGTCCTATCAGAGCAAAGTCGGCTGCTGTTGTCCTAAATTTTTATAATGAAATCACATCGCATTTTATGCATGAATCATTGTATATGATATTAGGGTTACGTATACAGCGCTTTATACAGCAGGTCTGTATTATCATAGTTATAATTAAATAAACCTTATTTCTGCGCGAATTTACTGACTAGAACTGGCCAGCCAAACAGTGAAATAGAATGTAATCAACAGATCGCAAACAGTACACGAAATATTTTTGTTTTTAAATCACTGTGCATGCAAACGCTAAAGCTAGCGCAAATTTGTGTTTATATTATAAAGACCAATTTAGCGGAGACTCTTGTGTTCAGAAAGATGCAATCATCTTTTGCTGACAGGTTAAGAAGGTGCAGTCATCTTTGCTTAATCAGTTGAACCTAAATTTTTATAATATAATAACACATCCTATTATGCATGAATCATTGTATATGATATTGCGGTTGCAGTTACATACGGTAGCTATATATTTTTAGGTCTGTATTATCATAGTTATAATTCAACAAGCCTTATTTCTGCGCGAATTGCACTGACTAGAACTGGCCATGCAGCCAAATGAGTAGAATGTATAGCTACATGTATATCAAGAGACCGCAAACAGTACACGAAATCTTTTTTGCAAACGCCAAAGCTAGCGCAAATTTGTGTTTATATTATAAAGACCAATTTAGCGGACACTCTTGTGTTCAGAAAGATGCAATCATCTTTTGCTGACAGGTTAAGAAGATGTAGTCATCTTTGCTTAATCAGTTGAACCTAATTCTTTATAATATAATAACACATTGCATCATTGCATGTAGGCTATATGAAATTGCGGTTGCAGCTATACATACGGTGCCTATTATATCCTGTATTATCATAGTTTAATATAATTCAACAAGTCTTATTTCTGCGCGAATTTACTGACTAGAACTGGCCAGCCAAATAGAATGTATAGCTAAATCAAGAGACCGCAAACATGCAGTACACGAAATCTTTTTGTTTTAAAATCAGTTTGCAAATGAACGCCAAAGCTAGCGCAAATTTGTGTTTATATTATAAAGACCAATTTAGCGGAGACTCTTGTGTTCAGAAAGATGCAGTCATCTTTTGCTGACAGGTTAAGAAGATGTAGTCATCTTTGCTTAATCAGTTGAACCTAATTCTTTATAATATAATAACACATCCTATATTATGCATGAATCAAATGTTGCATGTAGGCTATATGAAATTGCGGTTGCAGCTATACATACGGTAGCTATTACATCCTGTATTATCATAGTTATAATTCGACAAGTCTTATTTCTGCGCGAATTTACTGACTAGAACTGGCCAGCCAAATAGAATGTATATAGCTAAATCAAGAGACCGCAAACATGCAGTACACGAAATCTTTTTGTTTTAAAAGCAGTATGCAAACGCCAAAGCTAGCGCAAATTTGTGTTTATATTATAAAGACCAATTTAGGGGAGACTCTTGTGTTCAGAAAGATGCAATCATCTTTTGCTGACAGGTTAAGAAGATGTAGTCATCTTTGCTTAATCAGTTGAACCTAATTCTTTATAATATAATAACTCATCCTATATATATTATGCATGAATCAAATGTTGCATGTAGGCTATATGAAATTGCGGTTGCAGCTATACATACGGTAGCTATTATATCCTGTATTATCATAGTTATAATTCGACAAGTCTTATTTCTGCGCGAATTTACTGACTAGAACTGGACAGCCAAATAGAATGTATAGCTAAATCAAGAGACCGCAAACATGCAGTACACGAAATCTTTTTGTTTTAAAAGCAGTATGCAAACGCCAAAGCTAGCGCAAATTTGTGTTTATATTATAAAGACCAATTTAGCGGAAACTCTTGTGTTCAGAAAGATGCAATCATCGTTGCTGACAGGTTAAGAAGATGTAGTCATCTTTGCTTAATCAGTTGAACCTAAATTTTTATAATGAAAACACATTCCGGTATGCCACGTACGAGTTCTATGCATGGCATTGGTATATATGCAGATATTCATAACTCATTAAGCCTTTCTGCGCGAGTTCCAACTACATGTCATGGCTATTTTCATTTAGAATCTAACCAAATAAAACATATATGGGATATAGCTGAATACCCTCACGTGTACAGGCTTTTGTAAGCAAATGTAAGCAATTGTATTGCATTTCACGGGATTTTACAAGACTAGTAACTTATTTCTAAATATTGAACTAAACGCCACATGCTAATTTTCATATACCCACTGCGAACAGAACCAGATTGATGACAGCTTTGCCTATTAATTTTATTGGGATTAGACATGATTGCATCCGGCGAACTGCACAAATTTTGTGCAGTTGACACCTTTTTTCGGCCGTGCGGATTCTCATGGTTTCAGTGTGTCGCTTTAGCACTCGTGCGATTTTTTCCGGTGTCATCGATCTCATCGCCGCATTGATGCCGATACTTGTCGTGTGGCTTTGCCCTCAGATTGTTCCATGTCTTGGCGGTCTCCACCTCGACGGTCACCGACGGATATGCGCTCCTAACGTCGCTAGTTCCAGCAATAGGTCTACCGAGGCATGTGACTTAATTTTGTCCGGTTTATCTCGTGTTCGGGTATCCATCACCACTCCTTCCCAGGTATCGTATTCCTGACGTCGCTATTTCGAGTAACGTTTCACTTTCGTTACCGGACTCCACCCGTCGCTGTATTTATCCTGTTTTCGTTTCGTTGCCTCTCGCTTTGTCGAGTAATGCTATCCCTTGTCACCAGTCGCCACCCATTCGGGGGTAACGCTATTCATTACCACGTATTTTTCGCCACGTCGCCACTCGATTTGTCGAGTAACGCTCTCTTCGTCAACTATCGCCACTCATTAGGGGGTAACGCTTTGTCGAGTAACGTTTTCCTTCGTCAACGTTCGCCATCCATTAGTGGGTACCGCTATTTTTACCACGTATTTTTCGCTCAGTCGCCACTCAATTTTTTCGAGTAACGCTTTTCGTCGTCACCAGTCGCCACCCATTCGGGGGTAACGCTTTCCTTCGTGAGTACCGCTATTTTTACCACGTTTTTTCGCTCAGTCGCCACTCGATTTGTCGAGTAACGCTTTCCTTCGTCACCAGTCGCCACCCATTCGGGGGTAACGCTATTTTTACTACGTCGTTTTTTCGCTATCTCGCCACTCGCTCTGTCGAGTAACGTTCTTCCTTTGTCAACGGTCTCCACCCATTCGGGGGTAACGCTATTTATTACCACGTATTTTCGCCACGTCGCCACTCGCTTTGTTGAGTAACGCTTTCCTTCGTCAACAATCGCCATCCATTCGGGGGTAACGCTATCTTACCAGGTATTTCGTGCCATCCCCACTCGCTTTGTCGAGTAACGTTTTCCTTTGTCAACGTTCGCCACCCATTCGTGGGTAACGCATTAACACGTAGTCGCTTCGTCGCCAGTAACGTTCCATAGTCGTCAACGGTCGCCACCCATTTAGGGGTGCTACTATCTTAACACGTATGTCGTTAAGTTGCCACTCGCTATGTCGCGTAACTCTCTCCTTCGTCAATGGTCGCCACCCATTCGTGGGTCATGCTATCTTCGAACGTATTTCGTTCCGTCACCACTCGCGTTGTCGAGTGACGTTGTCCTTCGTCAACGATCGCCACCCATTGGTGGTAGGTAAAGGTAAAACTTTCGTGGTAGGTAAAGGTAAAACTTTATTATTTCGAGTAACGTTTTTCGTCCTCACCAGTCGCCACCCATTCGGGGGTAACGCTTTCCTTCGTGAGTACCGCTATTTTTACCACGTATTTTCGCTCAGTCGCCACTCGATTTGTCGAGTAACGCTTTCCTTCGTCACCAGTCGCCATTTCGTTATGTCGCCACTAGCGTTGTTGATTACTGCTTTCCTTCGTCTCCACCCATTCGCGTGTACCGCTATATTAAAACGGAATTCGTTACCTCGCCACTTTGTCGAGTAACGCTCCACCTTAACTTCGTTCACAGTTGCTATCCATTCGCGGTTAACGCTATGTTCACATGTATTCGTTGCGTCGCCCTTCCCATCTCGGGTACTGCATGCTTCTCCTTTCATCCACGGTCGCTACCCATTTGTGGGTAACTCTACGTTCTCTCGGTTTAATGGCGTCTCCACTCTCTTCGGGGTTTTTTTCAGGTTTTTTGAGCTTGGGTTTTTTTTTGGGTTCATTTCTTTGTTTTTGCTTCTTAGTTAGTCGCTTTGCCCTTCCCTAGGATTATAATCCGCTCCTGTCGGCTCCGTGCTGACTCTGCTGGTCCACTCAGAATTTCGTCGCGAGCTCGCTACTCACCTCGATCAGGCTCGTGTCATCTACGTTTGTAAATGGCTTCCACGGCGGTCTTTCACCAGCTCTCCCTTGTTACGCTCTTCTACGCGGACTCTAAAGTCTGCGAGTGAGCACCTAGTCGTGGTAGACCAATACTGAATAGTGTCGCCTTGCCACCAATGTCGAATCTCCATTGTCGTCCATTTGGAGTTATAACCAAGAAAAATGAAAACCGGATAAATGGCGTCTTATTTCGGATCTTTCCTCACCTGCAGCTCAGAGCGTCAATGATTGGATTCCCCGTGCTCCATATTCGTTACACTACATTAGTGTCCCCACGGCGATACATGCCCTCTTTTGGTTAGGTCTTGGGGCACAGAGGGATAAGTTCGACGTTGGCTATGTTCGACGTTCGAGTTCCACTGCGATAATTCCGCTGTTGTGGCTATCCTCATCTCGGGTTCTTCTCGGGACCCGTTCGCGTTGGTCCTCCTTCGCTGTTTAACCATGATCGCGTGACCATTGTCGTTCTCCGCGCGTCATGTTCCCGGTTGTCAGAACGCAGCGCCTGATGCGTTGTCTCGTTTCAATTTCCAAGTCCTTCGACGCCTCCATTTATCGGCCAATGCCACTCCCACACCATTCCCGTCGACGTCCTCCGTGCTGCATCGCTTGCTCTGTATAAGCTAGAGAACACCTGTTGTTATTATTTGGCGCATGGTTTAGCCGCGAACTCTGGTCGTATTTTATTCCGCCGGTCAGGGTAAGTTTTTGGCACTTTGTGACGTACGTGTTCCCCTCGTTCTTTTCGTCTTTCAACCCACTTTGGAGTACCAACTAATGATGTTCGCGTCGTGGCTAGCCCGTTCCTTACCTCTTGCTACCGTTCGCATCTACATCGCTGCGGTTCGCTCCCTCCAAATTGATCTTGGTTTTACCCATCCACATCTCGACGCTCCTCGTTTGCGTCGCGTAATAAAAGGAAGTCATCGTGCTGACGTGGTTTCCCCTTCGCGGCGCCATCCCATTACTCACAACACCCTATCTTCTCGCTATCGTTTTCGTCCCTCCATTCATCTGGCTTGTCGTATGACGCCTTGGGGTTTTGGTCTGCCTGCTGGCTTGCTTTCTATGGTTTTTTGCGTGTTCGCGAGTTCTCGTCATCCGTTCCCTTCAACCCCAACCGCGATTTGTAATGTAATGTAATGTAAAACTTTATTTCAATACGCTAACTTCGACAATTATTTACAACTGGTTTCCACGAAGGGCGTATACACACAAAGAGCTAAATGTTAATTATATATAGAACAAAATATGTAAGAATCCCACCCTAAAATTTTATCATCTTCCTCCCAAACCTCCACCCCTAAACAAGTACCCACCCACCCTCACGCAAAACTAACCCCCCTCCCGCCCACAATCTATATTGTCCTCCCATCATTTGGTCCTGGAGAAATTAGCTTATCATCTGCTTAAGTGCAATTTCGCCATTGTTTTAAATGACGTAATTGACTCAGCCGCCTTGACATCTTGCAGGAGACTATTCCATAGAAGTGCTCCACTGTATCCAAATGTTTTCTTTAGAAATTCCGTTTTCGGTTTTTTTAACGAGAGATCAGTTTCGCTATTGCGTAAATCATAAATATTCTGCGATGCATTTCTCCGAGAAAAAAGATCTTTAAGGTTTGGCGCAGTGTGGTTCCCCAAGACTTTATACCTCAATACTAGCTTGTTTTGTTCTCGTCTCCTAGCCAGGGTTTCCCAGCCTAATTTGTTTAGGACTTCAGACGATCTTACATCGTAGTCAGCTCCGGTAATCACCCTTGCTGCTCGATTTTGGAATTTTTGCAATTTGTCTTGAAGTACCAAACCACAGTTATCCTACAGGGGAGAACAGTAATCAAAATGAGGCTGAATTAATGTTTTGTAGACATCATGTAAGGTTTTGTGTGGAACATAAGGTTTTATTCTTTTAATTGCTCCTATTCCAGCGCTAATCTTATGGCATACAGAATCAATATGTTTCTCCCAACTTAATTTTTCATCTAGATTTACACCTAGACATTTAAATGTATTGGTTTGTGGGACTGGGATTTTGTTAATCTCAACGGCTCTATTTCCTATTTTAGGATTTAGATTATGCGTAGATCCATGACACGATTTAATGTTAGTTAATATACAGTTTCTGCTGTCATCCTCCATCGCAAACTGCACATCGAACTAAGCAGTCGAAAACAGACCCCTTCGGCAAGGATGTTATCTCTACCTGGCAAGGACCTCTCGCGCGGCTTGTCCTGTTGCCGCCTTGTCTACACACCTCTCCGCGGTTCATCTCCAGGGCCGCATCTTCTCTAGTCAGATGGCTCTCCCTTACCAGCACCTCAGGTGAACGTTTACCTCCGCGATCTTCTCTCGCGTGCGGTCGTCCCCGGTTATTTTTTCCGGCGCAGCAATAGCAGGGACTGTCGCATCACCTAATTTAAGCTTTCAGACGCTGGTCCAACGCTGCTTATCTCCAATCTATCCGCACTTAACCGGACACTCTCGCGAACGCTGTGGCAAACTTGTAAGCGGTTGGAGATTTTTATTTTGGAAGAGGTACCAATGGTAACCTTACTCCAACCCCTTACTGTCGTTGGAGAATATCATTGGAAGAGGTTCCATTGGTTGAGGAAGTATCCATGATTCCTCTCCTGGTTATGGGGACTAAGATAATCCAGTCTCACCATAACCTGGAACCGAATCTATCCCCACCGATCGGCAGCGGGCATAATTATATAGTATTGTGATTAGTATAAGGATGAGACACGTTACTAGTTGTTATGAGCGTCAAATGTTAAATGGGTTTTATAACATAAAAGCAAGTTAACAGTATGGGCTGATTCGCTCCGTTGATCGATTGTTGTGTCGGCGATTTGTCTGGGGCAGATCCCCGGTAACCCAGAGTATTTAATAGCTAGTGAACTAGAAGCCAGCCTTTCAGTTGCTTTCAACGTTTTTCCCACCCTCCCTTTCCCTCACTATATATGTCTTCTCGTTTCTGTTGGCGGCACGAGCTTTTTCAAGTGTCTCCCTTACACTTTCCACTTGGGTTATAGTGCTCTGGAGCTGCTTTCGGGTTGGTAGGGGTTATTCGGTGTATGCGAATTGTGCGGGTCAGGTTTGGGGACTTTTGGGGAGCAATTTGGTTAGTAAGTAGATAACTCTTCCCTGTGCAGACAGGTTGACTTGTCATCGATGGGGATGGAAGAGGTTCCATTGGTTGAGGAAGTATCCATGATTCCTCTCCTGGTTGTGGGGACTAAGATAATCCAGTCCCACCATAACCTGGAACCGAATCTATCCCCACCGATCGGCAGCAGGCATAATTATATAGTATTGTAATTAATATAAGGATGAGACACGTTACTAGTTGTTATCAGCGTCAAATGTTAAAAAACCTTAAAATAATAAAGTTTCTTGACCTTGTTAATCTACATATTACAATTTTCATGCATAAATTTCATAACAATAATTTGCCAACTGCATTTAATAATCTCTTTACTCGGTCAACCAGACACATAATTACAATACTAGACTTGCATCCAAAACATCCTGCTCTATTCCCAAAACAAGAACAAATTATGGAATTTTCAACATAAGATATCAAGGAGCAAAAGTATGGAACTCTCTTGATGAAACAAAAAAAGCTCTATCTCTTTCCTCATTAAAAAAGAATTTAAAAGCTAATTTTATCAATGATTATTGATAAATTATGGCTAATTTGATCAATTTTCGTAAATTGTTGATTTTCTATGTAATGATTAACAAAATCTCCTAAATGATGTGCAGCGGTTGTTTTCTTTGTTTCTTTGTCTGTGTGTCTTCTGTCTCCGTATTTCGACTTAATGTGTTTATATTATACAAATCTATCCAAAAAAAATAAATTGTGCATCTTTCACTATAATGATCTGGCTGCCCAACAGGTGGGAAATTTGTCGTCGCTGACCAAAAAATCGCGGGCATAAACAAAGCTCATTGCATTTACATTCAAAACAAAGCAGAAAGTTAGCAAGAAGCTGTTTTAGCTGACGATTTGTTGCTTTCCATTCAACGATTTACAAATTAACGGTTATTCTTTTAAAAGTCGACTATGAATTCTTTGTTTTGGGATGATTTGTTTTGTAATCGAGTGATTGGAAGAAGTTAATATGGCGACGTGAACATGGGAGTAAATACCGTATACGTCAATCTGTGGCTTGTTTAAAACTGGAATAAACGAAGAAAGACGTGATATGCGAATGAAATGTAAGTTGAAATTAACTTTATATGCCTCAAATTTTCCATCCTATGTTTCTTAATGTAACTTCAGCTGTCCAAGTTCAAAATACAAGCTCGCGAAATTTGACAAATTTTGAAAATATGAAAAAATAGCTTGACTTTGAACTGTATTTTCTCAAAAATAGCCCGTGGCCTCAATTTCAAATATAGCTAAATGAAAAGAAAAAACTTTTCGGCGTTTGTAGGTATCAAACATATTGTCAGGAAAATAGGGGCTCACAATGTTTTAGCAAAGTCTTTGAGACCCAGTTGCTTCGCACGTGTTGTGGTCAAATTTTTGCCAAGAATCAAAGGCCGAAATGTGAACTTCCTTCATGAAAACCGGCTCGAGAAGGGTCTAGTTTGAAAATTTAGCTATTAATTTCGATTTCATGAGCATATTTTGGTTCCACGTTAAATATTTTTGTACTTGATCAGATTCTAAATTTGTTATATATTCAAGCCCGGCTTTAATGTAATTTTGGTGATGACCGGAACGGAAATAAATATATTTTAAAAACTGGCCGTGGCCTCACGATAAAACTTTCTAAAAATGTTCTCTGCTTCATGTAGTTTTATTTGATATCTTAGGTATAAGCGTAAAAATAGGGGCTCATACAGTTTACGAGGTTGAAAAATGCGTTACTTGCCTCTATTTTTATGTAAACATTCGAAATTTTTCGACAGCAAAGTAGCAACTGTTTCAGATCGAATGCACACGGACAGCCCACCAGAAACAATGGCAGGGTACTGAAATAGAACGTCACTAAAAAATTCTGTATGATTAATTTAGATCATGTCCATTTTCAGCATAAAACAGTCATTTATTTTGTACAAACATTTGGCAATATTTACACGATTGTGCCTTTTTGTAAACACGCGTTGCGTGTATTCCACTCAATTGCGTGACTCATTTTGCTCGCGCATGCTCAGACAAATTTCCCACCTGTTTGGCTGCCCAACATCTATTCCTTTACGGTTATTACGGGTAGCCAGTACCTATGTCTGATATTTATACTAAGTGAATTGTAATAGTGTAATAGTTATTTTCTTTGGGGTACAAGTAAATTTGTTGTTGTTATTGATTTCCATGAGGGCGTGAAATATAAAATTAACTATTTACAAGAAATATGACAAGAAAATACAATGATTTTTAATGCACGATCATACACATGCACGTTTCAAGTTTTTAATATCGAGTTGGACGAGCTTATAGGATTCAGCAATTTTTGCCTTATGTTGAAGATTATTTCAATGCAAGGCACCTTATAACTGAAGCGCCTCTTGCTGAATTCTTCTTTCGGCATAGGTGGTGCTAAATCAGCTGTATCCCTATTTCCGAGATTATATGTATTATATGTCTTCCATTATTAAATTGAAATGCTTCTTTAAGATTGGGTGTGGTGTGGCCATTCAAGATTTTATGGATGAAAATAGATTTTAAGCCGATAATTTTGTCTTTCTTCGAGAGGTTTCCAATTTAGATTCTCAATATAATAAAGTATGTAATGTAATGTAATGTAAAGACAGGAAATTAAATTTCATAGCTTTCGTTCTTTTACAGTATGTCATTAGTTTAATTTACTCGTACTTTTATGAACTCGTAAATAAGAATCGGTTAATTGTGCTATTTACAAACCAGGATTTGTCGTGAATGACGAGTGATATCGTCGTATCGTATCGTAAAAAATTATTTCAAGACGCTAATCTCATCAACATACGTTGATTTTCATGAGAGGCGTCGTCAATTTATATATAAAGTATTTGCAAGAAAAAAATACATGCTGAATAGAGGAGGTGTATAACCCATATACATTAACATTATAGTAACAGAATCAAAAATTGATATTTTCTTTGAAAATATGGATTGATTGTGCTTTTTTTCTCCTCGAGATCCACAAAGTTTTTTTTTAACAGTGCATAGTGCAAAAATATTCACGCCAACACTTCGCGTATATCGTAGCAGTCCCCGGGGCGCTGACAGTCAAACGATTGGTGGATTATTTCTGAGCCCTAATTTTTGTGGGCATTCAGCAATGTTCGTTCAAATTTTCCTTTGCAGATACTGATTATGAATTGTAACTAACACAAATGAGAAAAATTATAGGCATTGATTGTAACAACTCCATTCGTTGCATGAAGCTAAAGATTATAAAATACATTGTAAACAAAATAACTTGACGGCTTGTCATTATTCACGAATGCTTTTTTGACGTTTTTCAATCATGGTCAGAAATCACGGACATGATTTATTCTACTTCCTTCGTAATTTGCATATCACGTTGAAATATGGCTTCTGCAGTAAACAGTAAATTATATTACGCGATGCTGTAAATCCCAAAATCAGAGAATATGATAGTTCGTTTGCAACTTGCCTCAGTCGCTGACTATAAATCAAAGTTTGTCGAAGTCTTTAGCGTAATGTTGACAGTGGCAGTTGATTTGATTTTAGTTAGTGACTATTCTGCATTTTCAGTATTTGTACAGAGGTTAGTTCGTACGGAATTTGTCTAATTCTAATTAACTCTATATAAGAATACCGCACTATTGCCACAAAAATGCAGATAGAGTAGGCAGTAGGCTAACTTACACCATGCAGGCAAACACTACACGATATATTTCAACAGACCGTGTTCTGCAGCCAGCAATCGAGGCAAATTGCAAACGACCTGCCAATATTTCTGACTTTGCGATTTACACAGCATCGCGTAATATAATTTATTGTTTACTACCGAAGCCATATTTCAATTTTCAGCGAGTTATGTATTAATTATATGCAAATTGGTAAGGAAGTAGAATAATCATGTCCGTAAATGATTTCTGGCCATGACATTTGGAACGTTTCTGAGAGGAATTTCAGATTCAAATTTGAGCTAAATTGCCAGAAAATAGTTCTCAATTTAAATTTATGAATAACGCACGACTTTCGAGCTAATTTATATATATATATATATATATATATATATATATAAAACTTGAAACTTTATTAATTTATCTATCCCTCTTAGAATTATCACATCCTGCTGCGGGACTGCCATAGAAAGGCTCTCTATCGGCATTTACAGAATTCTACCTTAAACCATTAGCCCAGAAACTACCTGCTTTTATTAAGGGTCCTTTGCCACCTGACACGTTATTAGTATCGTGGGATGTCGTAGCCATGTTCCCCAACATCGATAATAATTTAGGTTTAACTGCAGTCAAGAAAGCGTTAGATTCGAGAGAAAATAAATTTCCCTCAACTGAATGTATTGTTGAAGCAGTTGAAATTTGCTTAGCATGTAATAACTGCCAGTTTGGGGAAATGAATTTTCTACAGAAACATGGTACAGCTATGGGTCCTAAGAATGCATGTAGTTATGCGGATCTGATGTAGCCATGGGGGAAATAGATAGATTAGCCAAAACTAGCGGAAATATAAAGCCAGAGCTTTGGTGATGATATTATAGATGTCTGGAAGCAAGGTTTGCCCAAGCTTCTGGAATTTACTGATTTTATTAACTCTCTGTATCCTACCATTAAAATTGAGTTAGTTTATTCGGAAACTGAGTTAAATGTGTTGGACCTTACCTTACGCTTGGAGAATGGCTTTATTTCCACTGATGTTTATGCAAAACCTACAGATAGTCATTTATATTTGCCATACTCAAGTACACATCCTATACAATGTAAGAATACTATTCCGTACGGAGTAACCTTAAGAATTAAGCGAAATTGTTCGGACAATAGTGATTTAAGCAAGAGGTGTGATTAATACAAAAGATACTTAGTTCGTCAAGAATATCCAAAATCATTAGTTGATAAGGAATTTAATAAAGCATTAAAGGTAAATAGGAAAGATTTGTTGCATGCTAAAGCTAAACCTAAAAAGAAGGTTTATCCCTATGTGACAGAATTTAATCCTAGGGCTCCTAACATCTCAC